CTGTCTGTCCTGTGTGTGTGTGTGTGTATGTGTGTGTGTGTGTGTGTGTTTGTGATTATGGATGTTCTGGAGATCTCCACCCGAAACCCTCAAGAAGACTTCGAGATTCTGCTGCGGGTCGGTGGAGGGACCTATGGAGAGGTTTATAAGGTGAGCCAGCAGAAAGAAGAGTGTGTGTGTGTGTGTGTGTGTGAGTGTGTGTGTTGTGAGGATATGTTTGTGCTAAATGTTGTCGATTAATTTTTTTGTGTGTTGGAACTGATGTGAAAAGTGTTTGATTTTCTTGTAAAATGCAGGAAGTGTATGTGTGTGTGTATGTGTGTGTGTGTGTGTGTGTGTGTGTGTGTGTGGTGCTAAAGTTAGTGTGTGTGGCTTTAGGTATTTATAACAAGAGCTGTGTATCAACATGATAGAAGTGTGTGTGTTCATTCTTCCCTTTTGGAGAGCTGAGAAAATGTGTGTGTGTGTGTGTGTGTGTGTGTGTGTGTGTGTGTGTGTGTGAGCATGAGGGAGTGTGTGTATGAAAGCCTGTGGGTGTGAGTAAGCGTGTGTATGGGAGCATGTGAAAATTTGAATGTTGTGAGCATGTGTGTGTGAGTATGTGTAAATGAGAATATGTGTGTGTGTGTGTGTGTGTGTGTGTGTGTGTGTGCACTTGTGTGTTTGCGTGTGTGTGTGTGTGTGTGTTTGCGTGTGTGTGTGTGTGTGTGTTTGCGTGTGTGTGTGTGTGTGTGTGTGTGTGTGTGTTTGCGTGTGTGTGTGTGTGTGTGTGTGTGTGCGCGTGTGTGTGTGTGTACGCGAGTACTTGTCTGTGTCCTCACATTATAAGCACCAAATGTCCCCACAAGTATAGCAAAATATTGTTTTAAATTTGCTGATCACTTTAGTTTTAGTTCATGTATTTAATGATCACACACACACACGTTTTAGATCTAAATATTAATAACAATTGTCAAATATTTGCACGGATGCATGTTTATATATCCATAATAAATATACAGCACACACGCACACACATATTAAGTCAAGACAAGCTTTTATTATGATGCGATTAATCGCGATACATTTTTTCCCAGCACTAATATTAATATTTATTTATTTACATCATCCGATCTCTTTATTACCTCATCTGTATTTGTGCAGTTGTTATATTAATATTTGTATTAAGACCATTCATGCACAATACAGTTTATACTTGTATATTTTGGTTCTTCAGTGGCTGTATTATAAGAGAGGCCAGCAGCACACTGTTGAAAATATCTCTAAATTAGCAGCATTTCATCTTTTGCGATCTGTGTTTTTATTTTCTGTGTGTTTATTTCTGCTTCTGAGTGTCATTATGGGATCTTGATCTTTCCTCCAACATCTTTTAACCTTAATATGTGTGTAAATGCCTCCTTTATTGTGATGTGTAATAGTGTGCAGTGCTGTATATAGTGTGTGTTGGTGTTGAATATTACTCTCTGCAGCACATTTACTGCTATTCTACACACTTACTTCTCTAGATATTCTTTATTATACTGTTTTAAGCTACTAAAATGTTACTACAGGTCTCTTTGTTAAACTGTAGAGTTGAATTTTTTGCATCAGAAGTGGACAGAGTAGAGATCAACATCACATAATGCAGTTCACCACTGCAAATAAACACAAAAGAAACTGTTCATTAGATCTTCTTTACAGTGTATCTTTACCAATCAAGAGGTTCTAATTAGATTTTGATTGTAAACCTGATATAAAGGTTACACAAAGCCACAGACAATTACATTTATTTTATTTATATGTGAGGTTTTCAGCTCCTACACTCTCAAAATCATCTCACACAGTAAATCTGCAGTTATTATTATTATTATTATTTATAATTATGCACAGAAATAGCAAAAAGAGCTCAGCAGATTCTGTCATGTGATTTCTAGTTTAATTAGTTTGACCTATTGAGGAAAAGCCTGAAATGATTAGCCTGAAATGCACAATGACTAACGCTGACACTGCCTCTGTTACGCTCATTGTTAGAAGGGATACAGCTGCAGCCAAAACTAAACAAGAATTATTGATATTATTTATTAAATAGCCGTTAAATTGTATTATATTTACATCTACCCCTACCACAACCCTAAACTTAACCATCACAGTAATGAATAAACAGTGATTACACAGAGTACTATTCATATTATTTATTAAATTACACATAAATATATATTTTTATTAAATTCTACCACTACCAGGACCCTCACAATAACATAGAAACATTAATTATGCATAGAATTATCTATATTATTTATTAAATAACCCATTAAATTGTGTTTTATTAATGTCTACCACTACTGCAGCCCTCACCGTAATATATAAACAGTAATTATACAAAGTATTATGCCTGTTATTTATTAAATTACACATAAATTGTATTATATTAACGTCTGCCCCTACCACAATCCTAAATCTAACTATCACAGTAATGTACAAACAGTAATTACACAGAGTACTACTCATATTATTAATTAAATTACACATAAATTGTATTTTATTAGTATCTACCACTACTGCAGCTCTCACAGTAATGTGTAAACAGTAATTATAAAGAGTACTATTCATATTATTTATTATATTAGACATTAAGTTGTATTTTATTATCATATACCCCTAGCACAACCCTCACAATAACACAAAAACATTAATTATACAGAAAATTATCTATATTATTTATTAATTTTCCCATAAATTAGATTTTATTAAAATCTATCCCAACCCTAACTGTAAACCTAACCCTCACAGTAATGTATAAACAGTAATTATACCGAGCATTGTTCATATGGCTTATTAAATTACACTTAAGTTGGATTTTGTTCACATCTACCAGTACCCGAACCCTCACAGTAAAGTATAAACAGTTGTTAAACTTATTAACAACTTTAATTTTATTTAATTTTAACTTTAATTTTTAATTTATTTACAAACTTGTTAACAGTTGTTATGCTTATAACTTTATAAATTACACAATAATTGGAATTTTATTAATATCTACTACCACAGCCCTCACAGTAATGTAAAATCAGCAATTATACTGAGTATTATTCAGATTATTTATTAAACTACCCATAAATTGTATTTTATTAACATCTACCACTATACCGCAACACCCACAATACCATAAAAACAGTAATTATACAGAGAATTATCTATATTATTTATTAAATTACCCATAAATTGTGTTTTACTAATATCTACCACTGCCTCATCACTCACAGTAATGTATAAACAGTAATTATACAGAGTATATGTATTTATTCAATTACCAATAAATTGTATTTTTTAATTTACCCCTACCCCAACTCTAAACCTAATCCCCACAGTACAAACAGTAATTATACTAAGTATTATTTATTAAATTACCTATTTAACTATAGTTTATTAACGTCGACCCCCAGCCTGACCCTCACAGTACACACTCATTCTTGTTGTACAGTAATTGTATAGTTGTATTGATATAAATGATCCTCATTAACTTCCTGGCTGCAGCTGTATCCCTTCTAGACTTCATCTTCTATTGCATTACGCAGGGAAAGCTGCTATGTGATTGGCTAAAATGTGTGACATGTGATTAATTTAGTGTTACAGGAAATGCAGATGTTTTCTTCTCCGTATAGTAAGATAAAATCCCAGTGTTTAATTAGTTCTTCATCTGGTCTATCGTCAACTGGTTGTCATTGAGGATTTATATTACGTTTATTTTATTTTATTGTTCATAATCTGTTTTTTGTGCGTCTGTATGTGTGACAATACGAGTGCTTATTAATCCTGAAATCATTTTTATTCTTGCTGATTGTTATGCTATTTTAGTTTTATTTTATTTTGTTATGCGTTTGGTTATTGTTAGTTTTATTTAGTTTTAGTTTTTTATTTATTGTGATTTTTTTGTTCATTAAACGAATGAATAGTCTTAGTTTTTTGCTAGAATAGCCTTGGTGGTACAGTAGAAGCTTCAGCTATGGGGAAAGCCCATCAAGAAAGCTGTACAACTGTGTGTGTGTGTGTGTTTTGACAGGTCAAAGCACCACATCCGTTATGATCCAGACACACTGATCTTGAACTAGGTCTTAAAATGTCACCCCTCTTCTGAGACATTCACGTACACAGACAGAAGTCATCTAATGCTTGCAGCGTTTAAGATGAGGAGTAACGTTTTCAGACAAAGTTCACACACACACACACACACACACAGCCCACATCTGAATGGGGCCCCTGGGTGTTTTCTGCCGGGAGCCGACCTGAAACATGTTTTTTTTTTATATCCGTGTGTGTGTGTGTGTGTGTGTGTGTGTGTCTCCAGATTCACTCAG